CTGGACCCTCGACCAGCAGTCCTGGACAAGATCCGTGCCCTGGGACCTCCGGGAACTCGAGACCTGACTCCCACCCTGGACCCTCGACCAGCAGTTCTGGACAAGATCCGTGCCCTGGGACCTCCGGGAACTCCACACCTGACCCCCACCCTGGATCCTCGACCAGCAGTCCTGGACAAGATCCATTCCTTGGGACCTCAAGGAACTCCACACCTGACCCCAGCCCTGGACCCTCCACCAGTCGTTCTGGACAAGATCCGTGCCCTGGGACCTCCAGGAACTCCACACCTGACCCCCACCCTGGATCCTCGACCAGCAGTCCTGGACAAGATCCATTCCTTGGGACCTTGAGGAACTCTACACCTGACCCCAGCCCTGGACCCTCGACCAGCAGTTCTGGACAAGATCCGTGCCCTGGGACCTCCAGGAACTCCACACCTGACCCCCACCCTGGATCCTCGACCAGCAGTCCTGGACAAGATCCATTCCTTGGGACCTTGAGGAACTCCACACCTGACCCCAGCCCTGGACCCTCGACCAGCAGTTCTGGACAAGATCCGTGCCCTGGGACCTCAAGGAACTCCACACCTGACCCCAGCCCTGGACCCTCGACCAGCAGTTCTGGACAAGATCCGTGCCCTGGGACCTCAAGGAACTCCACACCTGACCCCTACCCTGGACCCTCAACCAGCAGTTCTGGACAAGATCCGTGCCCTGGGACCTCAAGGAACTCCACACCTGACCCCAGCCCTGGACCCTCGACCAGCAGTTCTGGACAAGATCCGTGCCCTGGGACCTCAAGGAACTTCACACCTGACCCCCGCCCTGGACCCTCCACCAGCAGCTCCGGACTTAAGCTACACCCCAGACCATCAAGAAGCTCCGGACACAATCTACTGGGTGCTGGGCTGGAGAGGAGGCCACGTTCTGCAATCCCCCTCAGCTCCTCAGCATCTGGGAGCGACGCAGGAGTTTTGCTAGAGGAGGAGGAGCTTATGTTGGCGGAGGAAGACACTCGCAGCCCTGGTGTTCCAAGGGGTTCCTGGGGGAACCTAATTGGCCCCCCGCTCTTGCTGTGCCCCATCCATGGGCTCCCAGTGCTGCTTCCTTCCCCATACCCCCTTCCTCCAGCCCAGTTCCAGCAGGGGCCACGCTTCCCCTGGCCAGATCCTGCGTACCAGCTGCCGCTGCTTGGTGAGGCTTCCTGGGCCCCTGTCTCCAATGCCATGTCTCCCCATTCGCAGTCCCCTCCTGCCTCCTGGGACCCCCTCATGCAGCAGGCCCAGTCTGCCCCTTCCTCCACTCCCTTCCAGCAGCCCCCTGCCCAAGCCGTGCCGTTCATCTCACAGCCTTTCGTGCCTCTGGATTCCTTCCATGCCCCGCCGGGGCACCAAGGGCACTTCCCACCCCCACCTCATGCGCCAGCCCCCCAGGCCTTTCCGAACCAAGGGCACTTCCCACCCCCACCTCATGCGCCAGCCCCCCAGGCCTTTCCAAACCCGTGGCCCCAGACCCCATACCATGCCCAGGACTTTCCCTGGGCCCAGGCCAGGTCAGGGCCATTCTCACTCCACTCTCTCCCATGGCAGGGCACTCCTGCATCGCCCCTGGGCATCAGAATCGTCCTCCAGCCGGCTTCCGGGCCACGGAGCTTTCCTTCCGCAATGGAAGCCTCTGCCACAGCCATCCAAGCCAGAGAGCTTCCTGCCCCCGCCTGTCAAAGCACCCCACTTGCGTCCTCGCCCACCCTCCCTGGCAGGTCCTGATCCTGACGGCGTTGAGGCACCGTCCTCTGCTGCTTCTCAGGCTCCGAAGCCCACGACCCAACCTGGGAGCCCCTCGTCATCACCTCCCTGGGCCCAGCCGCAGACCTCGCGCCAGCCTCTACCCCTTAGCCCTCTGCCTTCTTTAAAATCCTGAATGGCCCCCAGCGGGGCTGGGGATCAGGCTCTCAGGCTTCCTCCCCCTCCTCCCTTGCCCTCCGGCTCCCCACCCCAGCTTCCAGGACCTCCATCTCAACCTGGGAGCCCTGGGTCGCCCACCTCCCAGCATCCCCCCAGGCTTTTGAAAGCGCTCCCTCCCCTGGCCCCAATCTTGCCTCCTTTGTCACCCTTCCCACTGCCATCTGTTCCTGGTGCTCCAGACTCCCTGGGCAACAGGCCCCCACCTCTAGCTGCCACCCCCACCCCCATGGTGCCCCCAGGCCGGCCACTGCGTCTCTGCAGCAGAGTCTAGTGCCCATGTCCCCACAAGGTCACTCTCCACTGTCCCCACTGAAGCCACGGAGCCTTTCCCCACCTCCCCTTCCTCTCCTCTCTAAGCACAGATTTTTTTTTTTGGGGGGGGCAGCCCAGGCCAGGGAGGCAGCAGAGCCTTTCCCTCCTTTCCTGTCCCTCTAAGGAGCCAAGCCCTGAGCAGGCTCCCATCTCCCCTTCACTCCATCTCCCGCTCACTGCCTGGGCCTCTTGAGCAAAGGTCTCTTGGCCTCCTTGCCCTTTAGCTGCCTCTTGGTGGGAGCCCTTTGGCCTTTCCCCACTGCTGGGCCAGCCTGGGAGCTTATGGGGCAGGAGTCAGACCCCTTGGTGGTTCCCTCTCAGCCCATGACCTGGATGGGTCCATGGGAGGTGATGGGATGTTTTAACCTTTCAGCATGAACCAAGCCTCGTTTGGCAATCTTCTTGCTTTTTAATCATTTGCAACAATAAATAACCTTTTTTTATTGTAATCATGCTTCTTGGAATCCTTTCCTCCCTCCAGGTAGAAACATCCTGAGCCATGAGAGGGTAATGTTAAATGCCAATCTCTTGGAGGCGAGAGACCTCAGGGGTTCCAGGCACACGCCCAGGTTGGATGGGGGTGTCTTCAGGATACATGGTTTTTGTTGGGATGTGAATAGATGCCAGGAGAGAATATATTTATTAGATATCACCCATCCTTCTTCACCTTTGTGAGTTCAGCAGAGTTGCATCCCTTTGCAGCTTAAAAGGGAAGCTTAGATAGGCTACTTTTAGCCTTTTAGTTTAAGTAATCCAGGATGCTCCTGATATTTCCCCCTTTTCAACAATATTCACACAAACAGTCTTGTAAAAGGTAAAAAGAACATTTGCTCGCTTGGAACACTTGCTGAAGAGCAACAAATTCAGCAGGCTTCAAATGGTAGTTCGGTTACAAAGGCACACCTAAGTCTAGCTTAAAATGTAGGCAGAGCATGGAGCTCAGACTTGGCAGATGTTCTCACGTTGCTGGCAGCATGTAGATGCAAGATGGCGGCGCGCATAGACGCTGCGGCTTAGTGCTCTCCCTTAGCGTTTTGCTTTGTTTTTATTATTTTATTTGGTCTGAGTATGTCTGGCCGGGCAAGAAAGATTAACAGCAGGCAGATTTACAACAGGCAGGAACTTCTGAAGGTCGGGTTGCAGTGTGAACAAGCTGTAAGAGCTGATTATTTTCGCCCAGATAACGTTCCTGTGGGAGTAGCCAGGCCGCCGGGCTCTCCATGGATTACTATGCCTCCAGGGAGGAGGCGAAGGCGGCGTAGAGACAGGAGGCAAAGGCGGGGTTGTCGGGCTGGTGTCCTGGTAAGATTACAGAGGAGTCCATTTAAGCCACCACTCCCTAGCATATTTCTTGCTAATGTGAGATCTCTTGCCAACAAGATGGATGAATTGAGGCTGCAGGCAGCAAAGAATAGCCTTGTAAAAGATTGCTGCGTTTTATTTGTCATTGAGACATGGCTTCAACCGTCCATACCAGACACAGCTATTCAGTTGGAAGGCTGTGCGGTACATCGTCAGGACCGAGGCATGGACTTCGGAAAAACCAAAGGAGGGGGGCTGTGTGTATATGTGAACAAATGCTGGTCCAATAATTCTAAGATTGTGGGCAGTCACTGTTCGCCGGATTTGGAATATGTGGCTGTTAAATGTAGACCAGCCTATCTCCCTAGGGAGTTCACAGCTGTTATGCTAACTGGCGTGTACGTGCCACCAGATGCCAATGCCAACTTGGCTTTGGGATGCCTGCAGAGCCTTATCAGCAGTCAGCAAGACAAGTATCCTGAAGCTGTGCACATCATTGCGGGAGACTTCAACCATGTTGAACTTAAAACAGTGCTTCCAACGCTCTATCAGCATGTGAAATGCCCCACAAGAGGGGATAAGACACTGGATAAAGTTTATTCGAATGTAAATCACGGCTATAGGGCTTTACAGCTGCCACACTTGGGCCAGTCCGACCATATGTCTCTGTTCCTGGTACCAGCATATATCCCACTCAGGAAACGGGCTCCTACAATATTAAAATCTGTTAAAATCTGGCCTGAAGGTGCTATTCACCAGCTGCAGGACTGTTTTGAGAGAACCAATTGGGATATTTTCGATCGTTCGGACCTGGAGGAGCACACGGCGGCAGTTCTGTGCTATATCAATCACTGCACAGACACTGTCACAGTAAATAAATCCATCCGGTTTTATCCTAATCAAAAACCCTGGATGAATGGAGAGGTCCAGTGCCTGCTGCGGGAAAGGAACAGGGCTTTCAGGTCGGGCGAGGTGCAGCTTTACAGTGTGGCAAGAGCAAACTTGAAGAGGGGTATTCGACGGGCAAAACTGGATTATAGGCAGAGGATTGAGGATAATTTAAGGAGCAACAACATAAGACAGATGTGGCAGGGGATTCAGCATATTACCAACTACAAACCTAACCTTGGCGCTGTCGACGGTGACCCTTTGCTGGCGGAGGAGCTTAACCTCTTCTTTGCTCGCTTCGAGAAGGAGCCACCTGAGACGCCGGTATTACAGCCACCAGCCCATAGGGGCCCCTCATTCACTGTAGAGGAGCACGAGGTGAGACAAGTATTGAGGATGGTGAATCCGAGGAAGGCGGCTGGACCTGATGGCATCACTGGAAAGGTGTTGAAGGGCTGTGCGGATCAGCTGGCGAGGGTCTTTACTAAGATCTTCAATAAGTCCTTACACCAGTCTATTGTCCCACCCTGCCTGAAGTCGTCAACTATTGTCCCTCTGCCTAAAAAATCCACAATCAGTGTTGAATGACTACAGACCAGTTGCACTGACTCCAATCATCATGAAGTGTTTTGAGAAACTGGTGCGCCGTCACATTATTTCCTGTCTTCCATCAACTTTTGACAACTACCAGTTTGCATACAGAGCAAATAGATCCACAGAAGATGCTATCACCACCACTCTCCATGCTGCTCTGTCCCATCTGGAGCAGCCGGGGAATTATGTGAGGCTGCTGTTTGTGGATTTTAGCTCTGCTTTTAACACTATCCTCCCCCATAGACTGGTGTCCAAGCTAGAGACGATTGGACTCTCCAACTCCACCTGTCTCTGGGTTTTGGATTTTTTGTCAGAACGTTCTCAGAGGGTTAGAGTAGGGTCACATGTGTCCACAGCCCTTAGCCTTAACACCGGCTCACCACAGGGTTGCGTGTTGAGTCCCCTGCTCTATGCTCTCTATACGTATGACTGTACAGCCATCTACTCCAGCAACAAAATCATCAAGTTTGCTGATGATACTACGGTGGTGGGGCTCATTTCAGGAGGGGATGAGTCCGCCTATCGGGACGAGGTGGAGCGGCTCTGTGTTTGGTGTGGAGAGAACAATCTGGCTCTTAATACGGCTAAGACCAAGGAATTGGTGGTGGATTACAGGAAAAAAAAGGCGGACATTCAGCCCTTGTATATCAACGGGGAACGGGTGGAGAGGGTGGCGGAATTCAGGTTTTTGGGAGTGACTATCGATCAGGGCATGACTTGGAGCGCAAATACCACTGCTCTGGTGAAGAAGGCCCAGCAGAGAATTTATTTCCTCAGACTCTTAAAAAAGAACAATCTGAGTGAGAGACTGCTGGTGTCCTTCTACCGAGGCTCCATAGAGAGCATTCTTACATACTGTATTTGTGCTTGGTTCTCCAGTTGTACAGCTAGGGAGAGGAAGGTGCTCCAGAAGGTCATAACCACAGCCCAAAGGATTATTGGTCACCCTCTCCCACCTTTGGAAGAACTGTACGGTTCCCGTTGCCTTAGGAAAGCAAACAACATCCTGCAGGATCCATCTCACCCGGGATACAGTCTGTTTGCACTACTGCCTTCTGGCAGGAGGTATAGAAACATCAAGTCAAGGACAAATAGACTGAAAAACAGTTTCTATCCAAGAGCTGTGGCCTTTTTGAATGCTGTAACTCGATAGGGAGACCTGGGAGTTTGATGGGTGTGGGTGTGGGTGTGGCTGGAAGGTGGTTTGTTTGGTTGTTGTTGTTGTTTTGCTTTTGTTGTTTTTAAGGGATGGCATCCAATTTCGTTGCACTTGTGCAATGTTGCACTTGTGTAATGACAATAAAGAATCTATCTATCTATCTATCTAGCATGGAAAGAGAGCGAGAGTGTGTGTGCCCAGGAAGGTAGGAGAAGATCTACAGCTCTGCCCTCTGCCTGTCAGGACACAGTGGGAGTCTCTCGCACATAGTTCCCTCTTGCAAACTTGCAGGAAAACTGTGCGTGCTTCAACTCCTATCATGTGCCTGTCTAGCAAACCACGAATGGTTGATTTGACTGCATTTTAAATATTGCACAGTTTTATTTACACATGTATACAACCTGAGCATAAGAGGAAGGAGCTCACAGGATCCACACCCCAACAGATATTAGTCAGTTTTGGATCCAGCACAGAGCAAGCAGGTCTGCGGGTCTCCAGCTTCCACCTCAGCCCTCTCCCACTTTTGCTTTTGTTCTCCTATCTAGCAGCTGCAGAGCGGAGGGGAAGACCTGCCCATTCATTCTGTGTCACAGAGCAACCTTTTGGATTATGCTGGTTGCGGTGCTTTACTA